TTCCACGTGAGCCGCAGTGGCACAGCACGTTTTTATGGAATAAATTTCAAGAAGACACTGGGCCCCTCCGTCCTTGTTTCGTGATGACCATTCTTCTAAATACCAGGAATGCTTGAGAAGTAATGTCTGTTTATCTTGATCCGCTTCTGGATGACCACCCACAACAGATGCCAAACAACGGACAATGGACCCCCTCAGTTTTGCTTACAGAAATGGTATCTTGTGTCTGTTTTTATAGACGGAACGCCGTCAAACGTAAACATCAAGTGACTGGTTTTCCCGAGGCGCGGCGAAAGCTGTGTTTTTAGGTTGAGCGTGGTACACCCAATGGCAGCGATGATGATAAATATACAACTAACGTGGTGGCGCTGTGTAATGGGGACAAGGGGAACCAATGTTAGTAGAACTGTTCAATCAGCTGTTGAGGAGAGGAAAGAACGACGCCGTGCACACATGACATAAGGACTGTCTAAAATATAATTTGCTACTTTTCATCGTCCCTTTACCAGGTGAAGAGTATGGCGGTTCAAATTTGATCTGGTTGTTGGAAATCCGGGTCCGAATTGATCACATATACCCTAGAGGTTTCCTCATTAGTATTGATTACCGATATGTGTTATGTTAATTAACACAACAAGCATACTGTCTATTACTTATGCCTCCTGATGTGTAGGACAGGGCATCTTGACACAACATGCATACTATCTATTACTTATGTCTCCTGACACAACAAACATACTATCTATTACTTATGCCTCCTGATGTGTAGGACAGGGCTTCTCGACACAACAAGCATACTATCTATTACTTATGCCTCCTGATGTGTAGGACAGGGCATCTCGACACAACAAGCATACTATCTATTACTTATGCCTCCTGATGTGTAGGACAGGGCTTCTCGACACAACAAGCATACTATCTATTACTTATGCCTCCTGATGTGTGTAGGGCATCTTGACAACAACATGCATACTATCTATTACTTAGACAGGGCATCTTGACACAACATGCATACTATCTATTACTTATGCCTCCTGATGTGTAGGACAGGGCATCTTGACACAACAAGCTACTGTCTATTACTTATGCCTCCTGATGTGTAGGACAGGGCATCTTGACACAACAAGCTACTGTCTATTACTTATGCCTCCTGATGTGTAGGACAGGGCTTCTCGACACAACAAGCTACTGTCTATTACTTATGCCTCCTGATGTGTAGGACAGGGCATCTTGACACAACATGCATACTATCTATTACTTATGTCTCCTGATGTGTAGGACAGGGCATCTTGACACAACAAGCTACTGTCTATTACTTATGCCTCCTGATGTGTAGGACAGGGCATCTTGACACAACAAGCATACTGTCTATTACTTATGCCTCCTGATGTGTAGGACAGGGCTTCTCGACACAACAAGCTACTGTCTATTACTTATGCCTCCTGATGTGTAGGACAGGGCTTCACGACACAACAAGCATACTATCTATTACTTATGCCTCCTGGTGTGTAGGACAGGGCTTCTCGACACAACAAGCTACTGTCTATTACTTATGCCTCCTGATGTGTAGGACAGGGCTTCACGACACAACAAGCATACTATCTATTACTTATGCCTCCTGGTGTGTAGGACAGGGCTTCTCGACACAACAAGCTACTAGGGACAGGGCTTCACGACACAACAAGCTTCTGTCTATTACTTATGCCTCCTGATGTGTAGGACAGGGCATCTTGACACAACATGCATACTATCTAGTACTTATGCCTCCTGATGTGTAGGACAGGGCATCTTGACACAACATGCATACTATCTATTACTTATGCCTCCTGATGTGTAGGACAGGGCATCTTGACACAACAAGCTACTGTCTATTACTTATGCCTCCTGATGTGTAGGACAGGGCATCTTGACACAACATGCATACTATCTAGTACTTATGCCTCCTGATGTGTAGGACAGGGCATCTTGACACAACAAGCTACTGTCTATTACTTATGCCTCCTGATATGTAGGACAGGGCATCTTGACACAACATGCATACTATCTAGTACTTATGCCTCCTGATGTGTAGGACAGGGCTTCTAGGAAGCACTGTACATAATGGTACAACGGGAACACAAAATTACTACACAAGCCGATAAACATGAAACTTCAGTGAGGATTACTAAAACTACACTAATTTAACCTACATTAGTGGCCTATGGGTTATAGAAAGTTATAAGCCACTGTAGCTGAAATCAAGAGACACGAATATAGAAAATGAAGTCAGGAACTGTGAACCTACGAAGATATGACAAGTAACCTCTGTGGGAAGAGAATGAGTAAACTTAGGCTCAGTATTATTCGTTACACTGCTATACCGAGTCTAACAAAACCTTGTGGAAGGTCGCGTCAGGTAACCTTTGAGCGACCTATGACCGTCCAATCAAACTCGAGACGACAGAACGGACTTAACCAATCAGACAACGGCTACTATTAAGGTTTTGGCGGGACTTACAAAATGGATTTACTTTCCCGGTCGCCAACACTGATCTCACAACAAATGAAAACCCGCATAAAACACAGATATACGACCTGCAGAATATACGCTTTTGGGTTTCTGTTGACATGGTCACCATTAGCTAATATTTCCCCAAGCTTACAGCCTTGAATACTGACAAAACGCTATTTTCAGCGACTGTTTACTCACGGTTGTGGCCACTCTCTTCCCACAGAGGTTACTTGTCATATCTTCCTAAGAACCTCTGTTCTAATACGTCCATATTTCCCGGTTCTGGTAAAAATCCCCTAGCGGCAAAAAGTCGCAACACGAATTACCTCCCTTCTTTCTATCCAATCAGAACACGTGTTACATCGACTTAGATCCAACTTGACTAATACAAGCAAACGTGGGGCCACAAATATCCCTCCTCTGCCGGGGACTTATGTTAATGTGACGCACAAGACATTTAATGGCTAGCGTGTCCGTTGTCTGCTTGTCAACGAGGGCGATGGAGATCCGCCAATGATCCACTGTTACATGACTGGGTTCCGTCTAGAAGAAACGTTTGCGCATCGCGGGGGGAAGGTGTTCTACTTTTCCCGAAGCATACGGAAATTGCCGAGGCCTTGCGAATGATCACTTTTGAAACAACGTCGCTGATTGCACAACCAAATCTGATTGCAACCAATCACGAATCCTGAACACTCGCACCATGAAACATTCGTGAACAACTCGTGTTATTCCGGGACAAGCCGAATAGCAACTCGTGCCCCTCTGGAAGGATTTCATATTGGTGCATGAACATGAGAACTACTTAAGATACAAGATAACTCTATCCCTGTTTGATTCCAATGGTACTTAATATCACCGAAGCACTCGTACATTGTATTGCTATTTTTGATTTTGCTTATTTATTTTAAAGAACTAAACCTCTTTGATACAACTAAAAGAAGGAGAAAAACATATTTGTTAAAGACATATTCTAATGTAATTATTACCAGCTGTTCAGCTTATATTTCCAATTATGTTAATATTCTTGATAAGGTTTAATCATCACAAATGGGAATTGTCTTATTGAATATGCAAATAAAATAATATTTTTGTCAGCTACATTAAATCCCAAAGCAGATACTCCAAAATGACTAAAATATTTCTCAAACTGAACATTCGAGTAACCTTGCTGTCACACCCCTGGTGAAATTGTATATGATTTCGCTAAAAAAAATATGAATGACCAAAAACAGTCAGACTAAAATATCCCCAAAGCTATGAAATATGAGCCCAAGGTTGATTAGTTACATACAAATACAATATTATTTTTGAAACTCGTAGCGATTATAATTACATTTCCTAAAATTGGTCGAAGCACACGTACAATCTCCATAACAAGCCCGCAAGATCGTCAGAAATACACTCAGTTGGACCCATGAGAGCAGTTATGTCAACAAACGCACGTTCGTGTTTATGAATCTCTCACCGTCAATCGCATGATTCTTATTAGAAACTTCATAAAGGCAGCAAATTCCTTTTAGCTACGTTCTTTGTACTTTCAATATGACGATATATATTTTTCATGATTTTTTAAACAATGACATAATGCCATAAACGATTTAAGTACTCGGGATTATTTTTATCAAAGCACCGCGCTCATTTACGCGCGTTCTGATTGGTTTGTCGTATTTTCGCACATTACAAGTATCGAGTGGGGGACGATTCTTCTTGGAGGTTACGGAAAGGGGCGAGTGGTGACGAATGGAGTGGGGGACGAGTCTTCTTGGAGGTTACGGAAAGGGGCGAGTGGTGACGAATGCTTTCGCGATTTGGTAAGCTGTGTTCTGATTGGTCAATTGAAAAGGTTACCTGACGCGACCTTCCACAAGGTTTTGTTAGACTCAGTATAGCAGTGTAACGAATAATACGGAGCCTAAGTTTACTTGGACTGTATCGCACGTATGGCAACGACACATATATCTAAAAAAATGTACACGCCTTGACCCCGTTTCAACCGGATAGAAGCCAGTCTCAGAACAATTTGTTTTTTAATATATTCTCTGATACCAAACACATATTTATGATATTCTTGAAACTATGTTTCCCTTATATATTCGTCCATGCGTGATACGTTTCACAGCAAAGCAATCTGAGTATATTATCTGAGTGAGTGAGGGAGTGAGCTATGGCGGCGATCTGTAAATAATCGAATCGGACCAGACAATCCAGTGAGCATCGATCTATGCAATTGGGATACGATGACATGTGTCAACCAAGTCAGCGAGCCTGACCACCCGATCCCATTAGTCGCCTCCAACGACAAGCATGGGTTACTGAAGATCAATTCCAACCCTGATCTTCACGGGTACTGATGCATGATGAACAGTGCTATAGCTCATATGTTCTTACAAGAGTACATGGCGTTCATGATCCAGTCCATCTCGGAGGTTGAACAACCACGTCATACGTCCTGTCACCGTCACTGGGTGTGTATTGGCTGCATGACTTATTCATTTGGTTCTTTCAGCGGCTGTCCTGCAGTTCGAGAGTGGGATCAATATGTGGATATGTCTGCTGGACACCAAGACCGACGGACCACTGACCCCGGACAGTTTAGGGGAGACGGTCATCATGGGTCTTGAGGAGCTGACGGTCAAGGGGATGAACGCAGAGGACGCCGCCATCTTTGTGGCCGGCCACGGCCGAGGAGGTGAGGATGTTGAAGACGTTTTATTGCCGTTCTGATCTCATTCTAGGAGGAATTATTGTTGAAAAAGTGTATGCTGTTTCACGATCATCACAAAAGCTGTATTGGGAATTCGAATAAAATTAATATAGCTGTTGGCTAAAACACGGGAATCCTTGCTTGCCATTAAGCATTCTTAGGTTGCGAGAGTCTTAGGTTAGAGAATCGGACCACTGACTTTTAAACTTTACAAAAACCGCACTCAAACTTTGTTCGGCCTTTCTTTGACCAATCTCATTCCTTGCTCATATTCGTTCATGGGCAGACGTCAAGTCTTATTGCCACTTATCAGAGAAATACTCTGAAACCTTTTTGACTCCTTTCGGGAAACCACTTTCAAACCTTGATTTCACTTTCCAGGGACTATGCTCGCAACATATGTCGCCATGGTACCCGACTTTTTCCGTGGAGTCATCTTGATGGGTACATATCTCAAACCACAGTTCAAGGCATCGACATTTCCGCTTCCTGTCATGACGATCACTGGAGACCTCGACGGGATATCCCGGATAACGAGCGTGGCGGAAGCGTTTAGGTGAGTCATCGTTCAGGAAGTGTTAAGTCATATCCGAAGTTGATGGGACTTTAGGTAGTCAGTGGATAAAGCGTTCGTTCGTCAGGCTGAAGGCGAGGGTTCGATTCCATAAGTGGGTAAATATACTGTATGAAGCCTATTGCTGTTGTCCATTCACCACACCACCACGAAACATATTATTCATTTTGTCCACCACTGTCAACAAACCATTAATTAGGGTACATGTATATATTTTTAAAAACCTATTAAAAAGATCTTCCCTTATTCCTTAAAAGGGAGCAGTTTTGCTAATTAATTGTTACCACATGCGACATAAGAAAATAACCACAGTCGATTTTCCAGCTTGTCAGTTTCATGTCTGCTTCTGATGTTGTAATCTACACATTACAGGTCACTGAGAGATGACGTCACCTTTGACTCGGACCTCATATACCACAGCCCTATGGTCATCATGGACGGCTTCAATCATGGCGTCTTCTCGTCCGGTGAACTTCCTGGAAATATGCAAGCTCTGGATATCAGCGCCGAAGGCTCGATAGAAGACGGTCAGCGGCTGGTCGCCAACTGCACGGCGTTGTTCATTGCCCACACGATGAAGGCGCCCTCTGCTTTTGTAAACGTGGCCAAGATTCTATTTAGAGAAGCATACGAGAAAGCAGTGTTCATAACAAAGGTGCGATCATTGCGCTGATTGTGGCTGATAGTGAAAACCTTCAGGCACTGACTCAGATGAGAGTGCCTTTTTATCCAAACGCGAACATCGTGTTATATCAGAGACCATATAATATCTATTATATGGTCTCTGGTTATATGGATATATTAGACCTTTGTATATTCTTTGAGTTAAAGCTGAACTTATTCTTAAAAGAATTTGTGTTTTTTTAATAGAATATGCTACTCAGTTTTTTTTTATCGAGATAAAGAAATACTTCAGATATATTTAAATATACACTTAATATGTGGAAGGATAAACTATTACCTTATAATAGGTGCCGTAGTGCATTGCAAGCAGAATGTTGTTCTTGCATTTACTGAAAGGCATTTTGTATAATTTCTTTCTTTAATAACTAGAAGCAGCTATCCTTCAACTGGGAATAGGAACTGATGTTAACGGAATTATATCATCAGGATTCCAAACATGTTGTTGTAAGAGCTATATTAGCACTAAGGTGATTGTAACCTTAACTACACATAAACTAGCGCTAAGGCTGTTTTATACAACCGCACCCAAACCTATGCTTTCCGAACGAGACCACGTAATGGGGCAGGTATTGTCTGGATACTGGGTTCGTTCTTGTAGCTGAAATAGGTCTCCGTGTGGCGTTAAACCACAAAGTAATTAACTAACATATCCTCAACGTCTTCCATCCAGCCGATCCTGGAGGTGAAGGAGATGACACAGAACCCACAAGGGGAATCCTACTTCGTCAGGGTGGCGCAGAAGTGGCTGTCAGGTCTCCAGGGGCAGGAGTCCACCAGGCTCAAGGTCAGTCTCACCCCTCCCCACCCCACCATCACCCCTGGCCTATAACTCTGACCCAAGGCCCCAGTGACGGAGTATGTCCCAAGTACGTATGCTTGTCATTTGTCGACAATGAGAATTATTCTTCAGCAACCGTGATTCTCCCCGTGAAGAGTGGGGATTAGAAGTGATCTCCAACCACCTGTGCTTATTGTAACAGGTGATGAATGAAATTAAGTGTACAAGCTTCCTGACGTGTGTCATACGTCATCATATCCCATTTGGTAAATGATGCTCAGAATGTCAATCACTGGATTGGTACTCCTGACTCGATTGTTTACTGGCCATGGTCATATATCGGAGGGTGGAGTTAAAAGACAACCAAATCCTGACAACTCACTTCTCATTGCCCAGGTTAGGCTGTTGGGTTTTCTTGAACCAGATGAAGCTGAGGCATTTACTTTTGTCCAAAGAAAAATAACTTTGTCTTAAATGCAGTTTTCCGTTGCATTTCCAATATTTTGTGAAATAGTAATTGCGTAATTATATTTTCATGTTTAATATACTTTTTATGAAGATATAGTTATTTAGTTCTGAAACTTTTGTTGCAAAAATAATGCATTTGAAATATGGACGTGAATACCTAAAAAATGGAATTATTGACTTCTGAGATATAACCCATGAGTTTCAACTGTTTCCACTGTTGTCTTGGCTGGTATTACTGAAATTTCGCTTGATCTCTCTAGGTGGAGAGTTACATTGTAGGGGAGGCTACTGAGATTCCACCCTCGGTGTTAGCCGAACAACATCATTCTGTGGTCATAACATTCTCCGACGTGCTACGCCCCCAGACACAGGATAACGATGAGAAACCGGAAGCACCATTTGAGATAGCAGCCCGGATGGTGAGCCCACAGAGAATAAAGAAAGCGCTGGGAGATACAAACATCACCAAGTTGTATACATGCAGGGACCTTAATTATGTGAGTATGATATATACAGAAATCTCAGCAAATGCATTTGACAAACACTAAACTGTCTAGAAATAGAAAGTATTGCTGAAGGGGTCTTTGTCGGCACAGGTACTACATGTATGTACGTTTCAATTAACAGAAATGTACCTTAAACAAAATCAAAATACAGAATGGACTGAATGGTTAGATGGAAATATGTAGCAATCAGCTTTCAACTTTTATTCTCAAACATTACTTTAATCAGAAAGCAAAACTTGTTGGTGCAAAACAGATGTTATCTTGAAGCAATTAATTTTACTTCTTACTTCTGAAACGTTGTGATGAATCTTGAAAAGTATGACAACATGATGAACTTACTGAGGACACACTATACAAATACTGCCTTTATATTTACAGGGGTCCTACTTGACCGCATACAACAAGGCATCAGAAACAGCCCGCCGACGTTTTGACAACCGCCATAAAGGCATCATTTTCCACACAGATATGTTGGTTCAGAGTGATCTTGCCTGGAAACTCACTCAGCTTATGGTAGAAATCAAGGAGCATGAGCTTCACGTGACCGCGATCTCGTACATGACGCCAAATTTAGAAACTCTTGGAGAAAGAGCTGGTTTATATTACTGCAAAATACTTCCTCCTGACAGAGCTATAGAATGGATATATGTGGATTCATTGAGATCAAATATGCCGTCTTGAAGGTCTTTGAGAAGTGTTCAGAGTTGACCATGGATGTGTTCGAGCTACGATTCCGGGATCAGCTGCAGAAACGTGTTCTAACGCCTACTTATTGGTGTCGGCAAAAGTCGAATGTGTCGAACTCAGAAGAGGGAACAGTGGATTTGGGATAGCATCTGTTGAGATTGAAACAGGCGTGGTGCAAGAAGGCACCGAAGAATATACCTCATTCCAAACAGCATTTAGGACATGTTACGTTTATGAGATACTGCCGTTATTATCTGCTCAAATGAACATAAACATTAATCCATTATATAAATCCTTCAGCTGATGGACGATGGACATTGGTGTTCAGTTTCATTTGTTAGGTTTCGTTGTAATAAAGATGCAGTGGAGTAGCCATCTGGTCAAAGTTGTTGCTCGCCATGCCTGACACAATGGTTCTATTCTGCACATGGACACCGTTCGTGATCATGCTTGGTCAGGGTTGAATGGAAGGTCACATGAAAAACATTCACTCCAATCAATCACCATAGACTTGCATCAAAATGATAAACTATAGATTGATCTTACAGCTTCCTGGAGGGTGTGATTAGTTCTTGAATGCATATTGCCTGGATTCTGAATAATCTTTTTAGATTCTGCATGCTCTTTCTGGATCCTGAATGCTCTTGTCCTCTGACCTCAAAATGTTTTAAAATTTCATGGAACTGACTTCGTCCATATTTAAGAACTCCTTTCATCTTCCTTGCTTTCAATACTTGACCTCGGGCACAGATATGTACACAGACACTGTCAGTGCCCCTACTGGATTAAAACTATGCAAGTTGTATGAACTTCCATTGTTGTCTATGAAAGTCTACACTTCAATTACAGAAACATTAGTCATAAAGACAGCATTGTGTACATGAAATTCAGTGTGTGATGTAACATCATTTGGGTTATTAGAAATTAGCGATGAGTTTCAGTGAAATTGTTCATTTTTTGAGAGAAATGTATGCACGTTGAAACATCAACCATCCTCTACATGATCCAGACCTCCCAGATATAAGGGTGTATATATGTTTTACCTCAACATTCTATAATGACTTATCTACTACAATGCCGATGCATCTAATCAGTGTTTGCTCCTCTCTAAATCATTCTTCTGTACATGAATTGAAGAAGAATATATATATCAAATGTGCCATACATTTTCACAATATTTGTGATGCATTACACAACATTCTATTTATTGTTTGTTTCTTGGAACAACTGACTGCATAATTGTTGTAGCTGATGAAAATTGCAATCATGTAGCGAATTGAGTAGAATATTGTTGGAAGTACTTTCATAATAAATCAGAACATTGTTTCATTGCTCTTGTTAGTCATCAGATTCTTCAGAAACAGCAATCAAAAGTAAGAACCGAGTTGGTAGTGTTAACTTAAACCGGTTGCCAACAACTATGAGCACAGGATTGTGGACGAGTTGCCAACAACCATGAGTACAGGATTGTGGACGAGTTGCCAACAACCATGAGTACAGGATTGTGGACCAGTTGCCAACAACTATGAGTACAGGATTGTGGACGAGTTGCCAACAACTATGAGCACAGGATTGTGGACCAGTTGCCAACAACCATGAGCACAGGATTGTGGACGAGTTGCCAACAACCATGAGCACAGGATTGTGGACGAGTTGCCAACAACTATGAGCACAGGATTGTGGACCAGTTGCCAACAACCATGAGCACAGGATTGTGGACGAGTTGCCAACAACCATGAGCACAGGATTGTGGACGAGTTGCCAACAACCATGAGCACAGGATTGTGGACGAGTTGCCAACAACCATGAGCACAGGATTGTGGACGAGTTGCCAACAACTATGAGCACAGGATTGTGGACGAGTTGCCAACAACCATGAGTACAGGATTGTGGACGAGTTGCCAACAACCATGAGTACAGGATTGTGGATGAGTTGCCAACAACCATGAGCACAGGATTGTGGACGAGTTGCCAACAACCATGAGTACAGGATTGTGGACCAGTTGCCAACAACCATGAGCACAGTATTGTGGACCAGTTGCCAACAACTATGAGCACAGGATTGTGGACCAGTTGCCAACAACCATGAGTACAGGATTGTGGACGAGTTGCCAACAACTATGAGCACAGGATTGTGGACCAGTTGCCAACAACCATGAGCACAGTATTGTGGACCAGTTGCCAACAACTATGAGCACAGGATTGTGGACGAGTTGCCAACAACTATGAGCACAGTATTGTGGACCAGTTGCCAACAACTATGAGCACAGGATTGTGGACCAGTTGCCAACAACCATGAGTACAGGATTGTGGATGAGTTGCCAACAACCATGAGTACAGGATTGTGGACCAGTTGCCAACAACCATGAGTACAGGATTGTGGACCAGTTGCCAACAACTATGAGCACAGGATTGTGGACCAGTTGCCAACAACCATGAGCACAGGATTGTGGACCAGTTGCCAACAACCATGAGCACAGGATTGTGGACGAGTTGCCAACAACTATGAGAAAAGGATTGTGAACACCCTTTTGGGTGGCATCAACAATGGTCTTCTTGGAAGTAGAAGAGTGTGAGACTGAGACTTTGTCCCATGAGATGCTTACCATGATACTACTTCTACTCCTCAGACACGTCGTTGTATCCAATTTGCGTAGATGCTCATGCTGTTGATCACTGGATTATCTGGTCCAGACTCGATTATTTACAGACCGCCACCATGTAGCTGGAATATTGCCGAGTTCATGTTAAACAAACATATACAAAAAAAAACAAACTACTATTTGGCAGCTATGTCTCTTCATAAAAACAACAAACACCACAGTGATTTATTTGCTTATAAACTGCTTTATATTCTGTCTAACAAGTGATTGTAAGACAGATCCATAACAGTGCTATGATAGTGTAACACAGGTGGCATGTCAAGGCTCTCACAGAGCAGCATCAGGTCACAGTCAACACTTCCTGACTGGACCAAGTAACAATGGAGGCAAGATGCTCATGTCGTGCTCAACATCAAAACGTAAGATAAAACAAATCATGTCACAATGTTCCTTGAAACCTTCATTTTCTATGGGTCAACACCAATACAGAAATGTAAGAATAAAAGGCAAAAATAAATCTTGTGTGAACTAAAGAATTGCAGAAAAAATATATTTACTCAAGTCGAGCACTTACATATCAAGGCAATGTTGACTTGGTAGATTATTTTCTGGTATCAAAGGCTTATGATTTCAAGAATGGGAGTTTTGCACACACCCTACAAAGCATGTTTACTGATGAATGCATGAAGAAAGCACATTAAATGAATATTGACTGTCACGGACTATTGCGATAATGCCCATTGTTTTGTTTTTTAGCAACAACCTTTCTCTTTGCCGTCAGATTCATGTTCTTCCTCTATCAAAAGCAATTTGATTAAAAACGACAAAATATGAAGAAATCTTTTTGTGAGATATTCAAAGATTTCAAACTCAAGCAGCAAGACTACACATTCCAAACTGCTCTTATCCTGTAATCTCATCATATACTTTGGTTGAAAACTGATGATACAATGAAATGACCAAACATAACCTTTCAAAGATGTGATAAAAGAGGCTGATGACGAGGCATCAGTTGTGGACAGGAACTACTCAAACAGAAATGCAGCCAGGAAAGATTAGAATCATGCAGGGTAATAATAACTGGTATGCTTATTAAAAGCAGAGGCTGACTTCTTGCAACTTACATAAGCACTGACCAAGTGTGACAAAGACATTGGTAACATTGTTTACTTTAAAAAGTAACAAACAAACCATATTTGCAGAGGATGAGGCAAAGAAGATAAGCACAATGTCAACAGTTCTCCTAAACACATCTTGCAGAAAGGAACCATGCCCAATGTTTCTAAAAATATCAAGACTGGAACACATACATAAACACTATATTTCAATTATTTCTTGGATAACTACAGTAGGGTATGAATGTTTATAAATTGAGCAAAACTGGAGAGTTGGAAGCATTGAGTTGAGAGATCAATTAATTGTGTTCAGCATTATTTTAAACCGATGTCAACTGTATTTCTTTTACATGGGTTATGTCTACGTATAATCAAGGCTTAAAATACAGTAGCATTAAACATACTAAGATACAAGGGATATATTACCAAATGTACTGTGGAACATGACCGAGATCTTCTCGGGTTCTGATAGGTTTTGATACATGGTAACAAGTAAATATAAATAGATATTTCTTTAATACAAGAAACAAACAATGAGCAGAACTGTACATCCTGTTTTCTTTGTTTAATACTTATAGCTCGGGTTGACATAATGATGATATAGATGGTGGGCTTTCAGTCAACATTCTGGTTTCTTGCCAACAGTTTTATATACCAGTAAACAATACCAGAAGCTGGTCAAGAGAACGGCTCCTGTTTATCTGCAGATTAAGCAAGGGGAACGTTCAACAACTGAAAGTGAAATATGAAACAATGAAAGATGCTATATAAAGTCAACAAAATCAGATTAAGAAAGACAGAAAATATAGTTTGCATACTCAGAGTGCACTACATTGATTTCTTGAGCTAAATCACTGCATATCATGTTAACAGCATAACAGCAACAGTATAATGAAAAACTTATACCATTTCCAAATAAAACTTCACATGTTCATCATCGATTGTTGAAAAGTCAAGAAATCATGTTTTGTGTAGTTCGTTACACAAAGTTCTTCACTGTAAACATACAATATATTAAATTTCTTTGTTATTCAAGATCAAAGTATTTGTTTCTTTCAAATGAAAGGCTGTATCTCCCCAAATCTATATTTTAAACAGCTTTCAAACTGGTCTTCATAATAGATCACTTCATGTAAACACACATTCAGGACAGCTTTGTTTCATTTCTTTAAGACAAGAACTCTGACAAACAATTCAGCAACAAAATAATTAAAACAAACTGCCTCTGGCCCATTTTGTCATAAGGATTGCCTGACAACATATTGTAACATATCATCCTACTTCTGAATGCCATAAACAGCTGAAACACTTTTACATGTCTAAATGTTGGCTGTATATAAACCAGTGTCCTAAAGCTTTGGACTTCGTAATTTAACATTAAATATGTTGATACAATTGAAAAGAACTAAACCTAAATAAAAGACATTTTGCTGGAAAAAGACTCTCTTTGGGGAAGCATCACTAGTCTTTGAACATGTCCTGGGTTTCAAATCCTAAAGTAAGTTCAAGGAATGCAGCTAATATTATAGTTTGGCAAACAAATAATAACAAGCATAGAGTTACAAGACCAAACACAACATCAGTCCTCCTTTGTTAGTGAGATAAGTAAACTAGAGTAGTTCATTCTTCTGTACCCCAATTATTATTAATAAACGACTACTTTCAGCTTAGTCAAACCAAAGACAACCTCTGATGTCATCTTGAACCAGTACTTTGCATTAAACATAATACTTTGATCACTTGACATATTACAAATATCTTTTATCACAATTAAGATGGAAAATCCAGAATATGTCTCTGTGAAGCCTTCATATACAAAGTAAGTTACAGGAAAATACCATATTGAAATGACATTAGCACAATAAAAGGTAGGTTCAGGTACTAATGGACACTACTTTCCTGGAGAATATTATGTCCAAGTATTCGCCTCAAGAACCAGTGCCAAAACCTCTTCCAATATTCATTCCTTAACAATTGCTAAAAACTGAACTTCTATACAATTGTTAAGTTATAAGGACGGATAAAAGAAATTTAACAATTTATTTGCAAGCAAGCTGTCTGTTTGGAATTCGATCTGCTTGGGCAATACATACAATTCTGTACACAAATCTCTAAGGGATCCTGGTTGTAAAGGTTTCTTCAGCGTGATTTCCCCTTACGTAAAGCCAAACCAGTCCATTAGTTATATCAAGTTGTCAAGGTCTGTGTTCATGATACGCACATATCAACAGCTGATCGTTAAACATTTGCTTGTCAAGCTGAAGACCTGGGTTCAATTCCCCACATGGGTACAAATGTGAATCCCATTTCTGGTCTCCCCTTGCGTTGATATTGCCAATAGCAGCATTAAACCATACTCACTCACTTTTCCTAATCTGTTAGAAAAAACCTGGAACAGCTACTTGTGAAACAAACCACCAACCAGTCCACTTAAGCCTTGTGATGCAGCAATTTATAAACGTTGGATACATATACTACTCAAAAGAAATTAAGCACCACCTGACCCTTTCTTATTACTACGTTCACCTTTATATTGTACTGAGAACTTTTCAGCCACTTTGGGGTATTTGGGTGTGCACTTTCTGCGTTTTCGATAAGACTTACTAAAAACATAATTGTTGATGCTTGTACTAGTTCTTTGAAGGGCATATAGAAGTGATGGACATGGGTATCAGATTTTTGGGATATCAACTTCTTTATTTGTTTACCAAGACATTACTCGTTCTTCAAGTGAATGACAGGGTAAGAATTAACTCTGACATGTTGTGAGCATATATATTAAAGAACAAAACCCTTATCATAGTCACAGAATGCTTGCACATCAATTTGCACAAAAATGACAGCATACATGTAGAAACATTCAAATATAATTTCCATTCAAATAATTGTCAATGTAACTTGGCTATCTTTGCCCAATGGAATCAGTTTCTGCAGTTAATAAAATATCTGGCACTGACTTTTAAATTTACTGATATATAAACGTATTTCGTTAGATCTTTCTCAACAAGAACAGAGACTCTCTTTATGAGGCAATTTGAACATGAACTAACCTTAAAGACCAAACGAGACTTGACGATTTCAACCTCTGTTATTATCGACATGGTTTTACTGTAATGATTTAATGACATATTTGAGATGCTACTTGGGTGAAGAAAGGTACAAGTATCTGTAGAGAAACGTTACACTTGGACAATATAAGAGAAGTTTAAATGGGAGTCTTTGGATTTGGATGCACGTTAGAGACCTAAAAGTAATGTTGTTTACTTTTGTTGAGATATAAGAAATATCTCAGAAGCTTAATAAAGAGTCTTGCATCAACTCTCACATCTGCATTCAAATAACACTTTTATATACACTGACTCAAATTTACTTATGTTCCATTACCCTTTCAATTGCAGCTGAACTGACAAAACTACCAACTTATACATAATCATTGTGATAAACCTCTAACAACTTATTCAATTGGAAACAAATAGAAAGACTTCATATGGCATCCAGTTGATTGCACAGCCCGAACTCTAGCAGGTCATCTAACTTGCTACAAAAGTACTGATTTCACCTCGACTGAGGCTCAGTATATACACAACTGACAATGACTATGTACAATGAATAAACACACTGATACTCTACAAATAGCAAAATGATGAATTCAGTCAGTTTTAATGTTTCATGGATATTTACATGTTGCAGCTAGCTAATGCACTGAGCTAGCCAGGTTCCTGTGCCAGGTTACAAATACAACAGTAGTCACAAACATAAAACAAGAGAAAACAAGAGAAAACAGTTGAGATTTTCCATAATGTCTAACAGTGTAATATTTCCTCCATCATTCAAAAACCAAACTATAGAATTTACTGTGACAAACTGAACAAGTGTAAATAGCTTTCTGAACTTCAAACTACTGAAATTTGCAGTCTGCAGTTACCTCTAATAAGTAGTATTAACTTAGACTTGTGTATAAATTACCTTACTGGCCCACTGCACACAAGACAATCAAATTGCCCATACTTAAACACAGGCTTACGATCAGTGCAGTGCAGACCCTGCTTTGTTGGATGGGACCAATGTTATTCAGTACATATTTTGCATCAATTTTATTGGAACAGGAGTTAATTTAACTGAAAGAAAGATTAACTGCAGCAAGTAAGTGGATAAGGCAATCTGATTTTTGTAAAAAAAATGTCTTTTGCAAGATTTCATTCCAAATGATAATTTGCAGATGAATTAATTGATAAGATTAAGTAACCACAGGCATAAGCAGGCATATCCTCGTTCAATAATGAATACACTTAGCTATACTACAATTATCTTAATTTGCATTTTCACATCAAAAACAAACATCATTTTCTACATTTGAAATTGATCACTGATGCCACATGGCCGAGAAATAAAAAAATATATACTCATTCATGTCACTGCTAGTCATGAAATCGCAACATCATGTCACACAATTTATTCAATTACCTGAAATGGGCACACTGTCAATAAATCTGGAAAAAGGGGCTATTGAGGGTAAGGATACAAATTCCAGTCTCCTGTTTGGACAGACATGTTATGTGAATAGCACATATATTTCATGTTTGTATTGTTCATCATACAATATAGAACAGTGTACATCATGACCATGTTTATCATGTCAACAACACGTCAATATCATGTATATTACATGTTTGAAATGTACATTAATACAAAGTAGAAGAGTGGTTGTTCTCAAAACCATGTACATAGCATGTCAATCTCATGTATACTACAAGTGAATATTGTACATTAATACAATGTAGAAGATGATCAACTCCGTGGCTATACACGTCTGTTATAACTGCTCATAATTCATGGTCATTTTCATAACATGTCAATATCTTATTTATAACCCTTGTGCAATGTCCAGATATAATACATCCCAGTATCACATACCATGACATGAATACTTGTATATAACACACCGATATCATGCATACAAAATGTTGATCACATCAAATGCATGTATATTGCATGAAAATGCATGCATATTCCACTCCAACATCATATATATCTCATGTCATTATGATATATTTGCCATGTCAATAACATGTATATTCCATGTCAATAACACACCTCTAATCTGACCTGACATACACATTAACCTGCATCACAGCTTAACAAATAAACGTACATATTCTTTGTATTCACAGATTATATAGCCCCTGCTAGGCTGATTCTGTCTTTGTTTTGGTTAGCTGAGGTATTCCATTTCCTTCCTGGTTGGGACTATTGGTGTCTGTTTCACTCCATGCTTGTCAAACAAAGAGCATAAGGCAGCTTATTTGGTGTAAACTCCTGTCAGTAGATTTGAGGGCTGATGAAATAAAATGAAAAACAACTATTTTGAATGAGTTTTGTTAATGCAGTCATGTCACAGTGGTCAGTTAAAAAGGGAGACCAGGCTTTAGTCAAATGCCAGTTCTGGCAATTTAGATTGAAGGTGGCATGTGGTTCTGTTAGACTGTCTCACAGTCCCTGAACCACATTTTCCTACTGTCTAGCTAGCCCTCCCTGCAATGCTAAAGCCCTAAATGAAACAAGTCTAGATTAAATCAGGTTCTCAATCTCCTTTCTCACTGGGGATCCTTTTCAATTCAAAAGTAATTATTTGTTTCTATCAAATATATTATACATATCCAGAGACTAAGGGCTAGTCTTATAGTTCTAATGGTTCTGTTCACCGCACAGGTCACAAATCAGACAAAGTTAAGCGACCCTCACTCCATGAGTGAAAGAGGATGTGGGGACTGTGTTCATGACTGTCATGGCCTGTCAGATTAACTATATAAAAATGACAGAATTGGGTGTTCTTTAGATTTATTTGAGCATTAATATTTATGACCACTGAATATGCCATTCCTCGATAGGCCGACTTGGTTTACAGCTGACTGATCTTGACGTGTCTTCTATTTTCTCAGAATGGTTCAAACAACGAAATGGCAAACAGAATTTTATCATCTATTTGGAATTTTTTAAAGGATAATTGTTTAGAGAATCAAGCTGTCTTATCGACCATTCCATCAACCAACCATGTTGATTCATAGTTTGTCTACACCGAATAGGAACACTTCAAGCCTACTAACTGCTTCTGTCTCCCAATAACCACCTAGCATAACACATACAGCAATATTCACCTGAATCATCCATCTGCGATTACTGGCTTTTCTGACTCATGGTTGTTACAGACGTCGGCCCTTGCTGACTCCTTCGACAGACCTGTTGACACTGCAGCTTCCTTAATCTGAAGAGGAAACAAAAATCTTCAATATCTGCCATCTTGGCAGGGAGTCACTGAGTTTGGATTTACGCAAATGTTAATGAAAGAGGAGACTGTACAGTGTATATGTAACCATTTGTGAAATAAACACAGCTTCATTTTAATCCTGTAGTCAGCAATGTCCAAACAAGGTCACAGCGACCTCATCACCCTAACATCTGAAGAAAATAAAACATAGGTCTTTATCAGGACCAGCAATTTGGGTTGTAAGAGGCGACTAACGGGATCAGGTGGTCAGACTCGCTGACTTGGTTGACACATGTCATATCAAAATGTGTAGATCGATGCTCATGCTGTTGATCACTGGATAGTCTGGTGTAGATGAAATGCTGAGTGTGGAGTTACACAACAAACCTCAGAAAACTCACACAGCAAGCAGTATAGTCTTTGGGAACCCCTCCATTACAAGTAATAGGCAGCAGCATCATGATCATACCCTGCTGAGTGTGGTGACAATCTCGGTACCTACCTGTCTGATGTACTCCTCGCAGTCCTTCTTGGCCTGCATCACCAGGTCAGCCTGACCTTTCAGCACTCGGATGTTCCATGCAAAGTTTTCTGTTGCCTGCATGGGAAAATAAGAAGTTTGCAAAGCATACCTTCTTCCCTTTCAAAAGAAGTTCATTTACAAAAAAGACAATACAGCAAGTAGCAGGGGTTTATCGAAAGCTGCCCAGAGGTTGATATTTGTGGCTGAGTCTGCAGCAAGAGACTGTCAAAATTTGAAAATTGGGTTAAATTATCTTTGCAATTCTTTAGCTTATAAAAATAAGAATACGAAATAAAATGAAATTTTGAAGAATGTTGCAACTTTTTCCCAATTAGCCTGCCAATTGTTTTTAGATTCCTACACATTCCTGGATACTAAAAGGTCAAACTGCTCCAACTGCTGTCCAATTCCTATTGTCAGAAAATCAATGTTCATCATGCAAAGTTTATAGTTCCTGAAATCTCTGTAGTCATGATTTATGATTATGAGTATTTGATGTTACTAAAGCATGAAACATTAAATCTTAATGTTAATTCAGTACTTTAAATAGAGCTACTGTCACATAAGACATTGTGATATGTTTTGAGCTGTAATCCCCCTGCTATGATTTTAAAGATCTACAAGTTATACCAGAATGTGTGAGAACACTGTGAGTTAAGCAGATCATAGATGTTCACCTTGGTGAAACCAAAACACACGAAGAATCATGATCGGGTCAGTCTGTGACTCAAACCCTTGATAAATCGGATTCTGTCAAGCCTGGCTGCAACTCTGTTAAGCTAATTGCACAACATACAGGTAGATGCTGTTAATAAAAGGTGAGGTGAGGTGAAATTGGATTTAACGTCGTGCTTGAGAATATTTCACTCTATGACAACGTGCATTCGTGTGTATGTGTATGTGCGGCTGCTTGTACTAGCCCAGACTTAAGCTGGTTTTATAGTGCTAGCACACTCATATACCATGCCGCAGCGAAGCATGAATACCCCACTCAGACACATTATACTGACTCCGAGCGGACCAGTCCTTGCTGTACCCATTAATGCCGAGTGCCAGGCAGGGACCAACAAGTACCATATTTTAACATCTTTTGGTATGACGCGGTCGGGGATCGAACCCGTGACCTTCCACTCTCCGGGCGGACGCTCTAACCACTACACCATGGAGGCAGTCGTTAATAAAAGGAAAACTAGCACCGATTGACTCACCTTGGTTAGCTTCTTGCTCTTGAGCCCAGCTTGTACACACACATTCTCCAGGTCCTCGTGCCACTCCATCCCAGCTCTCTGACAATGCAGCAACTACAACAACAACACCAGTTTCATCTCAGCGGCAGAATCGCTAAGTCATGTTCCAAGACAAACTTAAGTATGTGACACAGAGTTACAATATATATTTATTGAGGTGTGTGTTGAGTTTTACACCTCAGGCAGACCATATTCTGCTCTATAATGTTGGCCGACATGTTCTGATTTTGGGTCAGGCAAACCAAGGATTAATACCATGAACAAAGATCAACACTCTTGGGACAAGATGACACACTATCAATCTGAACCACCCAATTCACATTAATCAGCTCCTGCTACAGGGTATCTGACTGCAATTTTGTTGGTTAATATTCCAGCTACATGGCGGCCGTAAAAAAGCTGATTCTGACTACACAATCCAGTGATTGATATTACGAGCAATGATCCACAATGTGGGACTACACTGACACAAAATTAACAAAGTCACCAAATCTGATAACCCAATCCATTCATTCGCCTCTTACAGCATTGGTGGCTCAGGACACTTTCAGCCATGGGTACCCATGGGGTCTCTCTTGTCAGGATCTTTCAAGGTTAGTGACTGAGGAGTGAGTTTAGTTTTATGCCGCACTCAGCAATATTCCAGCTATATGGCAGCGGTCTGTAAATAATCAAGTCTGGACCAGACAATTCAGTGATCAACAGCATGAGCATCGCTCTGCGCAATTGGGAACCGATGACATGTGTCAACCAAGTCAGCGAGCCTGACCACCCGATCCCGTTAGTCGCCTCTTACCACAAGCATAGTCCCCTTTTGTGGCAAGCATGGGTTGCTGAAGACCTATTCTACCCCGGATCTTCACGGGTCTTTCAAGGTTAGAATCAGAAACAGACATGTATTTTGTCAAAACTTACACTAAACTTTGAAGGGCCTCATTTAAGACGTCAGCTAAATTCCACATGAAACATAAAATATCCATGCAATATTTCGATCACTGTATGTGGTGTGTTCAGTAAAAAAACAAGTTTCTTAGCTCACCTTCTCATATACACTATCTGCACATTCTATAAGGTTTCTGCACTCAGTGATCAACTGAAACAAATACAAATATCTATTAATTGTTTAGTCACATATGGTTTTAATGATAATTTCTCGGATATAGAACTGACATTTAAGTTCCAGTTTCATAAAGTAAGCTATATGCTGCTTTGCCAGGTGAGCTATTGGTTACATGTATCTCCTGCTGGTACTACTCACATCATCAAATGACAGGAGAGCTTTTTTTCAGTATATCCGGCAGGTTCCCTTGTGCTTCTAGAGATGGGTACTGCAAAGAAGATAAATAATCAATACTTACAATCTAATACTGATGTCATCAACAAATAGAAGTGTTGGGTTCGATTCCCCATATGGGTACAATGTGTGAAGCCCATTTCTGGTGTCCCCCGATGTGATATTGCTGGAATATTGCTAAAAGTGGCATCAAACTTACCTCGCCTTTCATAACGTATGTGAGACTCTGTTCTCCTGAGTTGGTGATTCTGGTGGACAAGAGTCGGATACACTGCTTGATGTTGGCGATGGGTGGCAGACCACACGTCTCCTTGAAGCCACTCAGGGCTAGTTGCACGTTGTCTCGTAGGTCGGTGCCATCACGCAATGGCTGGATTGCAACCTGGAGAGATGAACAATGGTTGTTGAGCAGGCAGTCAACGTGATATTAGGGCAGAGCAATTCCCTGATGCTCCCCTTTGAGTTATGTCACCAATATAATAACATGGAACATTTAATTTTCAAATTAAACGTATTTCTGTCATCTGTTAACATTTTACACGTTGGTAATGAATTCATGAATACACAATGCCATTTAGAACCTGGTCAGATGTAACATGTTATATTTGGGACAACACTTTCTCAGTAAAGTACAGATTCTAGTACTTTGTTGGGTTGAGTCCCATTCGGTTATAATGTCAATGAACACCAGCATATTATGATAAAGGTAAGACCTTTTACAGACGCTTCCAACAGTTAGTTACAGCACGGTCTGATAGATTTTACTGACGTTTCACACAGTAAGACGCTCACATAATCTGTTAAATCAAGAGCACATGAACAATCAGTTTTATTTCCTTCTGCAATGAAAAGGGAGATGGATATCCCTATGAATGTCTTTTGAATCTGCCTATGTCTAAAAATCACTGCAACCTTCTTCCCTTGTCCATAATTACCATCATCGGAACAAAAGGAGAAAGCTTAGAAAGCCTCCAAAAGAGAATACATGTTACTCTGGTTCAACACATGAACTATGACACCTATAACTTTAGGACTACTGTAGTGTTCCATCCCAACACTTTGTTGGTACTGGTTGGACAGCATCGCTTGCCACAACTGGATTACCATGTAATGCATCATCCAAGCCAAAGTGTCTGACCACTGAATCCTTTATTCACATCTTACAACAAGCAAGGGTTGCTGAATACATCTAAACCAGATCTTCATGGGGCACAAGAATGGATCAGAGACGTTTCTAACCAGGTTTTTCACTGCTATTAAGTTGTACTAGTACTTCATTATTAAGCAGTTACTGATGGACCTATATTACATTTGATAATGTTTCCATAACCTACCTTGAATGTTTCATCTATGTTTTTCCCTCCGACTGACTTCATGCTGGTGTAGTCCCGATATCGTTTTGTTTTCTTCACAGATAAGCCTCGTTTGTATCCCTGTGGCAGACAAGGAACATTTAGTACTCATAAGTAACAACACACAGGCCAAGTTGTCAAATAATTGCTTTGGGTATGTGTGATTGTTGCTTTATATGTGAGAGTGATTATTATACTGCTGTGAGGCGAATGTTTTATACCACTGTGAATGAGTGTATGTTGTTTTATACCACTGTGAATGAGTATGTTGTTTTATAATACAGCGAGTGAGTGAGTGAGTGGTTATTATTATACTGCTGTGTTAATGTTTTATACCACTGTGACTGAGCGTATGTTGTTTTATAGTGTATGTTGTTTTATAATACAGCGAGTGAGTGAGTGGTTATTATTATACTGCTGTGAATGAATGTTTTATACCACTGTGAATGAGTGTATGTTGTTTTATACCACTGTGAATGAGTGTATGTTGTTTTATACCACTGTGAATGAGTGTATGTTGTTTTATAGTGTATGTTGTTTTATACCACTGTGAATGAGTGTATGTTGTTTTATACCACTGTGAATGAGTGTATGTTGTTTTATAGTGTATGTTGTTTTATACTACAGCGAGTGAGTGGGTGGGTGTCAGTGAGTGAGTGGTTATTATACTGCTGTGAGCGAATGTTTTATACCACTGTGAATGAGTGTATGTTGTTTTATACTACTGTGAATGAGTATGTTGTTTTATACCACTGTGAATGAGTGTATGTTGTTTTATACCACTGTGAATGAGTGTGTGTTGTTTTATACCACTGTGAATGAGTGTATGTTGTTTTATAGTGTATGTTGTTTTATACTACAGCGAGTGAGTGAGTGGGTGTCAGTGAGTGAGTGAGGTGAGGTCAGGTGAGGTGAGGTGAAATTGGGTTTTACGTCGTGCTTGAGAATATTTCACTCATATGATGACGTGCATGCGTGTGTATGTGCGGCTGCTTGTACTAGCCCAGACTTAAGCTGGTTTTATAGTGCTAGCCCACTGAGATACCACACCGCAGTGAAGCATGAATACCCCACTCAGACACATTATACCAACTCCGGGCGGACCAGTCCTTGTTGTACCCATTAATGCTGAGTGCCAGGCAGGGACCAACAAGTACCAAATTTTAACGTCTTTTGGTATGACGCTGTCGGGGATCGAACCCGCGACCTTCCGCTCTCCCGGCGGACGCTCTAACCACTACACCACGGAGGCGGTCTATCAGTGAGTGAGTGGGTGTCAGTGAGTGATTGTCAGCAAGTGAGTTTCAGTGAGTGATGTATTATACTGCTGTAAGTGAATGTTTCATACCAGTGAGTGAGTGTCAGCGAGTGAGTGGGTGTGTGAGTGAGTGAGTGAGTGAGTGAGTGAGTGATGTATTATACTGCTGTAAGTGAATGTTTCATACCAGTGAGTGAGTGAGTGAATGTTTTTTTATACCAAAGAGTGAGTTAGTGAGTTGGTAACCCTACTGAAGGCAGCAATATTCTTGGTATATCCTAGCCGATAATCAGGTCCTCCAACAAACTCACCCCACCACCTCTCTTGTTTGTTATTGCTACATGTACAAACAATGTACAATTTTCAATGGGGTACCCGGTGTTTGATAAAAGCTGGATATGCCGGTAACCTGTAAAAATGAAGGGATAATAATCAAAAATAGGAAAGTAACAATCATAAAACCAATTTACACTTTAATTCTAGTTACAGAAAGTTGCAAAATTTGTCATAAAAAATAACCTACAACCTACAGTCTGTTTGCAATGAACTTACCGATGAATTTCACTTTAAACAAAAACGTAAATCGAATAAGGTGAAATTAATATTGCAAATCCTCATAGTTTTACCTTGCCAACTGAACATTTAAATCTCAGTATTTTAATCAACTTAGGATAAAAGATGTTTAACAAACGATCATAGATTCAAATTGCTATTATTGGTTTGTATTACAAGGGGGTATGCACATTAAATGAAACACCGAGAACAAGTATGGTTGGTCCAAGCTAACGCTCATCACGTACCGCACTTGCATTTGTTTCACTGTTTCAACTACTGCGCTTACCCCCTTGTAATACCAACCAATAAAGTTCTTTAATCCGTTTGTTTAACAACTTTTATCCTAAGTTGAATATAATTCAGAGATATAAATGTTCAGTTGGCAAGGTAAAATAATGAGGATTCGCAATCTTAATTTCACTTTATTTGATTTACTTTTTTGTTTAAAGTGAAATTCATCAGTACGTTTTCACCGCAAACAGACTGTAAATGGAAATCTCCCACCAGCTGTGATCCAGAACAACTAGGGAAGAGTTGTTGCCCTTAGATTGAGAATGTTAATCACTTAAAAGGTTGTTAACTTTTTTAGTTTTAGGTACGAGTACATGTTCTGTCCTGCTTCTTTACAGATTGCAATATGTCAATCATAACATCTTCAAAAATAAAATCAGACAAAAAACCTACACATTAACTTCTTAAATAAACATTCACCAAGTTACTGTCCTCTGCCATGCTATAGTATCCCTCTACAATGTTTCAACATAAGACCTTTACCTGTTTGCATGCACTCAAATGGTATTGTGAACTGTCCAATGAATTCATCTCCAATATAGTCATCATCCAGAACAGTGAACCTCACCAAAGCCAGCTCTGGCAAGTTAATCTGGAACTCGAAGCTTTCATCAAAGATTGGATTGTATCCTGGAAACAAACAAAAAAACATACACAAAATCATATATTATGTTGATATTTGCTTAAAACCATTTTCAGTCATAAATTAACCTGGTGATGATTTATTTACAGTTTAAACAATTTATTCTAATAACTGCTATTCAGCAGTGAATATTCAGTGCGTAAAGCAGTCCACTATGACATCTGCTCTCACAACAAAAGTGAAATGAAACCCAAACATTGGGTTTGGAAGTGAGGTTGGTGGGATAAAAAAAATATCCAATGATTAATTACAGATTTTGCATATTTACCTGCATGCTGAAATAATTATGTGATGTAATTTTTTCCTCATTCATAATCTAATAATTTAATATCTTAATGCCTGTTGCACATCTCTGCAGCAATAACTGAAATTGGTCTTCCAACATATTTTCACCCATAACTGACCAAGGCAAACATTACACAGAAGTAGTAGAGACTAAAGTGTTCAGACTTACCATTATGCGGCATAGTTTTTGTCCTTTCCTCTGCACAGTCTGAGGGAATGCCAAATACTTCAATGGTAACATAAGGATCAGTCACCTCCCCTTTAGCTGCAGAACCCTTGGGCTTCGGGAAGTTCTGACCACTGATTATCTGCAAGGAACAAAAACCCCATAGACGTATGTTTATGTACAAACAGACCAGTCATGGCCCTCTGCTGTGAACCTTCATATAAGCACAAAGCAAGTCATTTTGACATTTTGTCTCAACACAAAGGAGTTCTCATGTGTTGCCTGCAAGTCAGTTATTAAATCCTCAGCTAAATTCTGAGCTACCTCTCCAGTGTCAAATTACACATGCAAAATCCTAGTGTGAAAAAATAGATATACTCACAGAAGAGTTTGAGGGATATATCTGGTAAGACCTCTCTAAATAGTATTCATCTTGATAAAAAGATTCCATGGTATCAGTGTGGACATCATTTTATACAAAATATTTGTTCAGACACCATATTCGTTGTTATAAAAACATTTTGGCAGGGACACCGTGCTCACCTTCATTCTGAATTTTTGATCCCATATTTACACTGAATATTTGTAATGCCACCATATTCACCTTTATATGAAGTATTTGAGGGGACACCCCTGGAATGACCTCCCTCGTGTTTGCACTGAAGTACGAGATCTCTTCCCGCATGATGGCAGGTTTCAGTACAAAGCCACAGCCTCCATTCTTGTGGAACCAGCCATTATAGAGATCCATCATGAGACCTGCTGTCTGGTAGTTCAGGGCAACTGGGGAGGAAGGAGGACATCATATATGTCATACATCAAACTATTCTCAGGAGAGGTGAGTGTTCGTTTTGTTTGTTGGTTTGCCACACTCAGCAATATTCCAGCTACATGGCGGCGGTCTGTAAATAATCAAATCTGGACTAGACAATACAGTGATCAATAGCATGAACATCGATCTACACAATTTGGATACAATGACACTTGTCAACCAAGTCAGCGGGTTCGACCACTTGATCCCATTAGACGCTTTAAACATTGTACTAATGTTGCAAATAGAACCAGGATCTTAGCATGATGAGCAAACACTTTAACCACTAGGTTACCTCCATCTTCCCCCAGGTGAAGTATAGACGGAGGATGACATTGAGATCATCATCACTTTCAAAGTAACTGCACATATGTAATGACATGCAAGTATATTTGTTTGTTGTTTAACATTGCACTCAGCAATTTCCCAGTTCTATGGGGACAGTCTGTAAATAATCGAGTCTGGGCCAGACAATACAGTGATCAACATCATGAGCATTGGTCTAAGCATATGGGATACAATGACATGTGTCAACCAAGTCAGCGGGCCTTATCACCCAATCCTGTTAGTGGACCCTTGTCACAAGCATGGGTTGCTGAAGACCAATTCTGACCCAGATCTTCATGGGTACATGCATGTGTGTAACCATGAGGTACAGTGGAGGGGCGTTCATTTACCATACAACAAAAAGTTTTAGTTGGTCCCCTTGAGCCACTTGGTTCTTAATTCTGTTTTCCCTCAAGTCTCCACAGTTTTACAGGCAAACAAACTCAAATTGTTATAATAATTAGTAAACAGTTCAAAAGCCCAAAATAAAGACTACAGTGTAAAAGTAATTACTGCAAAATATCTCTGTTCAAGAGAGCAGCAAAAGATGCTGTCCCAGTGGGTTTTGTCAACAGAGTCACATGTGGTGCAGTAATATCCTGATAATGTATGCCAACAAACAACCGTCATACAACACTGCCTCTTCAGCTGCATGTACTGCATGATTAACACAAACACCTTATCCTTGGGGCCTTGAGTAGAAAGTTAGAAGTAATGTTTGTGCAAATCGATCTCTTTTTAGAGAACACGGATAGAGTAATAGCTGCACACTGTTCCTGTAACCTTACCTCCACAGTGTTCACGAATAGTGTTTCAAAGTAACAGGACATTGGGTCCTGTATGTTTCAGATGTCAGTCTGACCCAATCATAATTCACAGGACCCATAGAATAAAATTAAAGGCACATTTCAGATTTGAAATTATCAACAAACATAAGATTTATAAACAGCAAACAAGTGCCACATGTCACATATAACAACTTCAGTCAAAGTCATTGTGAAATATATCAGACACAGGGGCAGGCGACTTCTATCAGACCGTTGGTGAATCTGCTGGATTTGTCAGAGGGTCAGATGCTATTCGTGAACACTGCTCCATCTATCCATAAACAATGTATAGCACAAATCTACATATGCACAACTTGTATGGGAGCACCCTTACCCATTTGGCAGCCACAGTTCCAGAGATCTTGGGGGTTGTAGTTGCTCGAGTCGATGGCGCATCCCATTGGGGTAGATGCGAGACAGAAACCGCTTGTTGTGGTTGACATATTCCTCCGGTGAGGACATTGCCAACTTCAGAGCCTGGGACTCGCTGTACGAGCAGATCTCCCAGCACTTCTCTGAAAAGCAAATTAAATATGATGACTTTTCCAAAGAATCACATGATTAAATCTGTAATCTGATTGAGAATTATTAGAATAAATGTATTATACCACTACTTGGAGGTGAGCTGTAATTAATACCCTGGTGAACAGTATTTCATTTATAGCCAACACAGCTGTGCACAAAACAGGCACATAGTAATTAATATGAAAATATCAAAGTCATCCACATGCTGTTGATTTATTTGTTAAAACCGATCTATCCCTTATCTTTCCACAAGGTAGCAACAGTCATGTTCACAAAGATTGCTATGATTGACCGCGTAGAATAGCATCATGATACTTTTTGCAGATCAGCTTTCTGTGAGGGGTTATATCACTAGACAATTACACCTTTCATTTGTAGAGGAATACTATTTACTATACCATAATATATTGTTATGATATAACGTATCATGTTCCGTGGCATTTACACATTTAGACGTCGGCATAACATGATGACATTTGAAGATTTTGTTGATAAAAACGTCTTCATTGTTTGTGGAAGCAGTAGCCCTGAAACTGTAATGCGTCAATGTAGCATACTGTGTAGATTATCATGACCTCATTAATGTGATATTTTCAGAACAGTTATATGGCTGTAGCATATAGGCAAATGTAAAGGCATTGGGAAAGGGAAGATAGTACATTTTATTGTGAGACAAACAGTGGACAACGTTTAATGCAGCTATTTCTTCTTCTTTAAGTGGAAAAGGCATCACTGTGCTCTTGTTTGTTTAGTTTTTAATATTCAAGCTATGTGGACCTCACAGTATTTCTGTTATACTGGTAAAATGCAATATGGTTATCAAGCTATACATATCACAGTATTCTTTCTGAGAACTGGTATACTGGGTTAAAAATATATGAAGTCTTTTCATTACCTCTATGGTTTAAGTTCAAATCTACACATACATTCACAATTATGTGAACTTTCCTTCATAATTCATTGTCATAACATGATACCATTACAAACTCCATAAATATCCAAACTAATTTTGAGAATACTGTTATCAGAGCCAACATTTATTTTAGTGCCTTAGTATGTAGAAAATAGGATCTACATGTACAATAAGTGTCAATCACTTAGCTCCCAATATACCACAGTAGTGACAGTACAGATATCAGAACAGCAATATATTACAATACTATTTATTTGCCAATACACAGCCCTACAAACAATATGGCAGGCTGAATATGGAGCCTACATCAGGGAACAAAAGGATACAAGCCACCAAGTGCTCTTGGGCACTTTTTACAACCAACATAGTTGGCAGGGGACAAATTCTAACCCAGAGTCCTTACAGGGCATCTTTTGGGTACTCATGAGTTGAGTTGAGTTGGGGTTTACGTTGTATCGGCATTATTTCAGCCATATAGTGACGAGATCAAGTATTCATTCATAAGCATTCCAAGTACAAAGTGGGTACTCACGGTTCTGCTGGGACACTTGAAAGTCTTCAAATCTCTTGGACACACAGTAGACAACCATGTCCGACAATTCCTTGACCAGTTTGTGTTTCTTCATTGACCCTTCCTGAAACACCAACATCCAAGGATTCTGCAGTCATATGCCAAAACACAGACAACTACATACAGCCTACAGACACAGAAAACTCTAAAACAAATAAGTCTGAAAATTAAAACAACCACGAACAGATGCATTTTTCTATCAACAGACCATGTTCTGAAGGCCATCAAGGTAAACAAATGCATGCCCAACAGATATACATGGCCGTTTACAGTCAATTGGTTGCATAGTTTGGCAAAAGCAGTGCAGTTCCTTTTTCCTTTCAGTCTCCATGATACAGCAGAAGAAGCATGCAACTTGGCATAAGGCAGGTCCCTCTGCATGTTTCACTGACTGAAATCATACAGTGTACAAAGCTAGGCAAAAACCATTAAACTTCAGCCATTTCTGCAAGTAGTTTCTGTAAACAATGTCCTGAGTGACTTTATTTACCAGCATACCAGATAATGTTCCATATTTTGTACATTATGGAGATTGGTGTTTGAGCAAGGTTGTTGAAGAACAATCCTGCAAGACGAGAGCCCCAAAACACCACAAGTGAACTTTGTGGCTATTTTACAGGAACACAATTATCAAACAGACATGGGCAAATGTCTCCAAATAATCTGTTTACTGTTCAACTGGAAGAACTATCACACAAATCTCTGTATTCAGTATTCCTAAAGCTTTGTGACTAAGTTCATGTATCAATCCATTAATTCATTGACATTTAGCCATTACACATTTGGCATTACAACCAACTAAATTCAAACTAAATTTATTACAATCATCATTTTCACTTTGCATGAAACTAAATAAAATTTAAACATTTGAGCAAAATCTGACATTAACAGAATGTTTGTGTTTCCTTATGTTAACAGTCTTTGCAAAAAGAAACATTCCAGTCCACAAGCCTGAAGTTGGCTAAAAGCATCAAACTCAGTACGTTTCAGTGTTATCAAATAAGGTTATATTGTATACTGAATCAAATTTAACAAGACTATTACCAGACTGGTGGCTTAAGACACAGACTATAACAGTCCTTTGAAACTTAAAACTTGAGATTTTACCTAGGATTAACCTTGTCACCTTGACACTCATCTTTAACCTTGACCTTACCCTTTTACTATTTTTCTTCTTGTCAGGTTCAGCACCTTCATCCTCATCAGTGACATAGCCCTCAACTGAGCTGCTTGAGATGGGCAGTTTTTTACCCTGCAATATGCACGAGTTAAGCATGTGAACAAGGCAACTAGATCTACTGATACCAGCAAGGTGAGGTTAATCTGGGGTCCGGATGGTGGACTATGTCTGAAGCCAGCCTGGTCATGAAATTCCATACTAACACAGCATAGAGTATGCAACAACCATGCCAGAGAATAACCAGTCTCAAATATACTCCAAAAACAGATTCCACTGGGCATAAAACTCACACTGATGCAATACTAGTCATACGATCCTAGTAATAACATAGTTTTTATGTTTCAATTGCTGGTAAATCTCTCCTATTGTAGCAGCTCAATTTCATTTGAAAGCCTTTTAACGATTCATGATGAATAAAGGATGTGATTAGAATATAGTGTTCACCTTCAAATGGCAAATCCATAAGAAATTTGAACCTACTCATGCTAAACCAAATGCCTCAGTTGCAAGTATCAAGACATGCCTATTTCACCCACACAGTTGGTGCTTGTGTTGTATTGAACTCCTGACCAGGCTGTAAGCACTAATATACACCCTGACCTAGGCACATTCAGTTGTATAATCAGTGACAGGACCAAGAAAGTCAGATTCAGATCAGTTCCTAACTAGTGTCTGAACTTTCATAACAGTTGGATTCATTTCATAGCTGCATCATGTGTGGTGCAGGATTGGGGGAAGTCATTTTAGGAACATGCAAACCTGACCAGATGAAGGGTCTGTCTTGCGAGTGAGATGGGTTTAGTGATATCAATAGATTTGGATTTTTGTGATATCACTGCATGTCAGATATTTGCAAAAGTGATGCTCATCATTTAACTCTTAAACTTCGGGGAAATCCACCAGCATGGGTAGGGTCAAAACCTCAGGGTCCCCAAATGGCAATGATTTGAACCCAGTGATTAGCGGTTCATACCAGACTGTTCATACCAGAACTAACCATCTCTTTACTAATGTCCATGACAATTTAGCAGTTACATTTTCATCAACTTGGCATATTATTCACACAACTTAAGAAAATTATTGTATATTTATATTTAAAGTTTCCTAGCAAACACAAACAATTTGGACCTATTCACATGTATATCAGGAACACATAGACATGTCCAGAAACTCAAACAGAATCCTTAACACAAAATTTGTGTGTAACATTATGGTTAAATAGTTTGGATGCGTAAGGATTTTTTGACTTCTTAGTCTTCGAAAATCTCTAAAAATGGAAACAAAAGCTCTCTGATGGTAACAGCTTAACAATCTTATGAACACACTTCATCTCATTCAAATTCAATTTTAAGAGCCAAAATATGACTGGCTGGGGTGAAAGGTACACTCACTATATCTGGTCAATATCCAAAGAAATGAATAAATGTTCTTAACAAGTCTGAAGTGTCTCATGCTTATTCCCCAGTATTGATTGAACATTCCTCTGTAAGACATGACACTACAGCCTGATCACTCACCACAGAAAAGATGAGAATGCACTTGCCGAAAATAGATCGCAAAACAAATTTGCCAATTCCTCAAAGATGACAAGCATGTAGTTGTCAACCATATATTAAACATAAAACTAACAGACTGACTTTTGTCGTAATGTAATTTTTGGCCAGCAATATTGATCCTGAGGCTTCCTGTTACAGATGAGGTGATGTTCAAACCTTCTGTTTCCGACTTGAATTACAATGATAAATATCTGTACTGGATGTGATGAATTACACAATCAGTGGATCCGATTGATTGTGATCACAATTCACTTTGAACGGTGACAGTTAAATCAGGCTTACTCCGTGGGCAGCAAACCAAGGTGATAAGAAAATATAGCCGTTATGCCTTATAACTCAAATGTCATGAGTGTGTGAATGTTGTTTCAAGGCAATTATGTCATGGATGCTGATAGAATGTTATTCTTTTTCAGTCACATCGCAAAATAATGATAACCAGAACCACAAGTATATGTTTATACTGAAGGTACAATTGCAGTGGAACAACAACAGAGCTAATGTGCTTGACAAACTAGATTGTTTTTGTTGGTGACACAAGAACACACAGGAAATAAGTGGTTTTTTCCCCATCTCCTACAATCTTTATGAGTTGTGGGTAGCAAGATACCATTACTAGAACAACTTATTATGGATTGCTGACAGTGAAGAGAACTTCAGTTGAAAATGTGAAGAATTTACAGTGTGATAACAGCCAAAATGCAGGATTTATGGCAATGATGAAATATTAACAGTTACGACGACTATTGTTCAAAATCTTACTGCATATATTGTAGTGTAATGACAGCTGAACCACAGGATTTCTACAATGACCTGAAAGAGGTCATGTATTCATAAGAATTATCAAATTCTGCCCAGGAAATTCTGTGTCTTATGGTAATAGCAAGACCATGCCATTAGGTATGGGGTTCTTGTTTCCTACTTTACCCTGGTATCGAATCTAGTTATTTTACTGTCATTTGTCAACTGATTTTTAATTTAATAGTGTTTATTATGAATTTATAACTTGTTAAAGTCACGATACCACTTAAATATTGTCGATGTGGCTACAAATCTAAACTCACTCACTCAATCACTCCTCTGGTATCGCTACATGGCTCACTTGAGTTAAGGCTTCATGACACCTGTTCATTTTCACCAATTGGAGAACATGAACAATGGATCTGGCCACCTTCAAAGTCTAATTTTTACTATAATTTCAACCTGTCAAGCATAAATACCTCAAAATTATATTTTGTGTCTTTCTAATGTGTAATGCCAAGATTATTTTTGCTGACTGAAATGAAAAATAATGTATGTTAGCTCTCTCATCCAAAATGATTAAACACGCTTGGGACTTCACTTAAATGTTTAAACCATCTTAACCCTTTTTTAAGTCAGATACAGCTTATAACAAGCACCTGCTCAATCATCCATCCACTAGTTTTGGAAGTGTCAACACGTTTAAACAAATTCTTAGATGCAGATAACAAGATGGCGGGTGACTTTCCATCCCCACCATAAAAGTTGGCAACTGAAGTCAACACTGGACATACACATTTATTGCATTAGAAATATTTGACAAAGGCCTATTCCAGGTTTGTACCAAGTGAAGGTATATGTAAGACCCTATACTGAAATGCCCTTTAGAAGAAGGTGATAAGAGATCTGTCCAAAGTTATCCTTCTAGAGATCGTACATGTAAGTCCCTATAGTATAAGGACCTTGGAAGGTGATGATAGACATGGTATGTGCGAGTCGTTATAGTGTAAGACCCTACAGTGCAAGGCCCAATAGTGATAGGCCTTATTCAGGAAGGTGATAACAGACCTATCAATAGCTCTCCTCCTAGAGATGATAGATGTAAGGCCCTGTAGTGCAAGGCCGTATGGTTGAAGTTGCTGATAGACCTTAACATGGTTTCCACCTAGAAATAGTACTGTAAGGCCCTACAGTGCAAGGCCCTATAGTGGAAGCTGATGCAACTAAAGCGGGTACTGTTCAAGGCAAGGCATTTCTCTTCCCACACCAAAGCAAATAGACAGTGGATATCCCAAAATTACATCTCTTTCTAAAAATAACCCTCGGTATTGTCAATGTACAGGTTTAGTGTATTTCTACATACATGTATTGCATTACCTGTAAACGTCAACAGGCCCCAACCACTGCAGTACATATTACTCTTGATCGTAATCACCTCCATGTGCCCATAACAATTTTAAAAAGACGTTTTTCCAAGAGTTTGTTTTGCAGCATTTACTGGTTTGAGACATGTCAAACATTAACAGTAGTTTTCCCCAAGATTTTTCTTTACAACATATACCATCATGGAAAACAGTATGTTATTTTCCTAAGATATACTTTCAAGAAAATCCACCAAGTGATAATAAACACACTTACTTTGATAAGAACTTTGCCTTTGAAGAATTCTGGTGAAGGTAAATGCTCAAGATTTTCCTCGGCAGCTGCAGTGTACAACGTGTCCCCAAGTATAGTGGTCATGTAATGGGCAATAGCTTGTTGTCCCAAGATAATATAGGGTGGTCATGTAATGGGCAATAGCTTGTTGTTGCTTGACAGTGCAGTGGTTTTCTATTGATAATATCACAGGGTACCTGAAATACAAGTTATATATTATATGTTGGAATAGAGTTTCCCCACGTTTAAGTGCATGAGCTGCATTGAAGTATATCAATATATTATATAAGGAAAATAACGTATTGCAGGTCTTGGATGTTTGCCTCTTTGGTGAAAACCTTCACTACTAAAGTGGAGCTACAGAAATAAAGCTGTCCCAAGAAATATAAAACATAAATACAGTCACAATTATCTATCAATAAAGGCAGAATTGCTGAAGATCTATTCACATCTAAACATAATTATCCTCTGCAATCAACGGAATTCAGAATGTAAATGAACTTTGAACTCATCCTTGATCATGCATTGAAGAAATAAGCAACCAACATATATACAATGAGGAAGATTTATAACAAATACACTCATAATGAACAGATATAAGGAACTGTAGTGATTTGTCTCACACACTTGCTATACATTCTAGTTGAAATGTGTAACACAAACTACCATTATAACGAACCAAAATTAGTGGTCCCTTTGAAGGTTCATCCTAACCCTAGTATACTGTATTGCATAACAGATTAACCGTAGGATTATACAAAAATCTTGTGGTCCTTAATGCTTTTGAATTTAAGTAACACACAAAATGTCACCCACAAAGATATCCACATATAACAATCCAAGTGATGACTTTGCAGAAACACCCAGTTCTGTATCACATCACTTCTTAACACTGCCAATAACCACTTCCTATGTTAAGCCATCAAAGTCTCTTGCTGTGTTTCTACTAAGTAAAGCTATTTCTTTGAGTAAAAGTGGAAAACGTGATCCTATGTTTTCTCTCTGAAGAATGAAAACACTTTGAAGCATGTATTCCTGTCAGTTTTGCCATGAATTCATTTATGCTCAGCAAATATCAATCAAAATGTTGCTGTGTAGATTGTGATACGTTCTTTATGTCCACGCTCCTGGAGAATGGCTTTCTTTTATTGTACAGACAGAAGGGGATGATAGAGCAAGGTCACTAATCTGGTTCCCCTCAGATTCAAAGCAAAGGAGAAACTCTAAGACTGCCTCCACAACCTCTTCATTACATCTTCCCAGTTTTCATTATTCAGGCTGACAAAATAAACCCATAGACTCTTCATCTTCCTTGATAATTAGACATCATATTTAAAGCTGACATTGGATGAAAAAAAATCAATCCAAGTTTTGCATTACCAGAAGAGATGATCAAAATGATGTGTTTTTCCTCTAAAGATTCAATTTAATAATAGAACCTTTTGGTTTACTTTTGTTTCATTATAACTCTTCTGTTACAGTAATTAGGTTACATAAATATCGATTCCAACATCACAAGGATGGTCACATTAGGGACAAGGTCGGTTCTATGAAATAATTGTTCTATATCTTGGGCTACAATAGTGACGAAGTAACTCATGTTTGTTGTTAGAGGTGCCTTCATGGCACCAGTTGGCAGATTTCAGGAATTGGGTTGGGGGTTCGTCCAACTTCCATGGCACAGACCATTGCTGAAAACATGAATCACTGGATTGCCTAGTCCAACAAGCTTGATTTTGTTACAGGCTGGCATCACAAAACAAACAAACAGATATGTTGATAGGTCTGGCATACCAGTTGATATTTGCACTAATCTAATCTATGGAGGTACAACAACAGTTATAAGGAGATGACATATCACCTCTATCCCGTGCAATTCACCAATTGAATTTGGCTGCTTATATTCAACAGGCACCAAACCACTAGACTGATCTGTATAGCAAGATTTAACACATATTTTCATATCCAACAACGGGAAAGCGTATAAACGTCAGTGTAACTTCTTTAATGTGAGGAAATTAAATGTTGTTCTCCTCACATTACAGAAGTTGACATCTATAAACTTTTCCCCTTTTGTGTATCACTTCTAAGTACCATTCAAAGACTTGACATATTCAATGGTTTAGGAGTTCTTCTCTGAAAACAGAAAAAATGTACAGGGGACTGATAGATGGCCAACACAATCCTCTTCAGATAATTGGTATGAGATGTCGCAATATTCAAGATAACATGGTCCAATTGTAGATAAAAACTTATGTTAAATAGGCCACACATATCAGTATTTGAGGTTTAGGTTTAGGTTTTTGTTTGTTGTTTTATGTTGCTATTCCAACTATAAGGCATCGGTCTGTAAATAATCGAGTCTGGACCAGACAATCAAGTTATCAACATCATGAACATGAATCTACTGAATTGTGATACGATGACATGTGTCAACCAAGTCAGTAAGTCTGACCACCCAATCCGCTTAGTTGCCTTTCATGACAAGCATGGTTTGCTGAAGATGATAGGGCTCTCACGAGTACTCAGGGCCGAGTCGGGTAAAGCGGGACTCGAGTCCAATTCAATGGACTCAAGGACTCGTAGGGGAGATAACTCTAAACGTCTCACGCAATCAAGATGGATGGTGAGAAGAAATCCAATGTCTGGACGCATCTTGATCTTGATTTAGTTGCCAAAAAACCCGAAATGCTGTCTTTCTGATGTTTCCCTTAGTTACGGAGGCAGTACGACAAGTTCCAATCGTAAGCATTTGTCCTGTAAGCACCCACAAATAAGCACTGTGGCCAGAAAACCAGCTCAGCAAGCAACGCTGGGGCAGTTTAGTAATTTTGTTAGCAAAAGTCGCAAGCCTGTTGACAGAAAATGGTATGAAGGTCTTACGCAAAAAACAACCCTTATGTGTGTTAAAGATATGTGACCAATAAGCCTTGTTAAAGGGAAGGGTTTCAGGGCTTTCTATGAAGCATTGAACCCAAATTACCAGGTCCCATGTGCCCCGACAATTCACAACTACCTCATGAAGTTGTATGAAGATTGCAAGAACATAATATCAGTACTCAAAACAGAACCTGCTGTTGCCCTAACTATGGACATGTGGACCAGCATAGCCCCTCACGGCTATATCACTGTCACTGCCCACTACCTATCAGATTGGAATTTAAAGTCATGCATCCTTGCAACACAGCATGTAGAAGAGAGGCACACCGGTGAAAATATTGCCGCAAATCTGAAATCAATTCAGGAGGAATTGAGTATCAAAACAGTGTCTAGCATTACAACTAACAATGCTTCAAATATGTCAGTCGCAGCAAAAACGACTGGCTATCCCCATATCCGCTGTTTTGCCCACACACTGCAACTTACTGTCAATGATGGGCTCAAGGTACCTGGCATTGAAAACATGCTAATGCATGCACGCAAACTTGTGGCATTTTTTGCAAAGTCGACAATGGCAACACAGTTTCTCAAATGTCATCAGAAAAAATATGAAAACCCCCAAACATGTCATCACCGATGTTGTGACAAGTTGGAATTTCTGTCTACTTTCTGCTTGACCGTCTGTCCCTCTTGCATGGTGACATTACTGCAAAACTTTGTGATCCCCTTGTCAAGAAACACAAACACCTAGACTTTAAGGACAAACACTGGACGTTAGTGGACCGGCTTGTTATAGCACTGAAACCTCTTGTTTCAGCAACAAAAGCTCTGTGTAGTGAGGAATTTCCAACAGCATCTGGCGTCTAATCTTTAGTCACTGCACTTGTTGACAATCACCTTGTAGTGAGAGATCTTGACTTCAACATCATTGGTGATATGAAGATGAGGATCTCCGCCAGTCTTTCCTCACGCCTCTTTCGGGACGGATTCCTACAATCCCCTACACTGACAGCGTCAGCAGTTGACCCATGCTACAAGAACCTGAAGTGTCTTAAGCCTGAACAGAGAACTGAAGTCCAGGATGCAGTTATTGACCTCATCACTCAGGCAGCAGATGACTTGCCGTGTACCGACACTGACCTACCTATGGCTGCAAGGTTGTGAAAGAAGAGCAATGATCTCCTTTCGAGCCAGCTCAGCCAAGTGTGAAGAAATTCAAATTCAGTGAATCAGAAGATGCGATGTCGTTCCTGCTCAGTGACGTCATCGAAATATCAGACGACATCAAGACAAACGAGACATCAGAACAGAATACACTGAGTTCCTGAACGCAAAAACATGAGTGAGAGAAAGGTCTACTTTGAAGTCTCTATCACTATCTTGGTGACGGGAGAATGAGAACTTGTTCCCACGTATAGCACCACTTGCCAAGAGGTATCTCTGTATGCCTAGAACCAGTGTTCCATCTGAACCCGCGTTCTCTGCTGCCGGACTCACCATTACTAAACAACGGGCTGCCATGAGTCCGGAGACTGCAGATGCAATCATATTCCTTCACAAGAATCTATGAGATACATTAAAAGAGGAAGAACCCCCTTCAGTCTCAAGCGTGAACCCTGTTATTAGAAAAAACTCCTGATGACACTAGAACAGAGATCCCCCTTGCCGCTCCTAGAGAGACCCCTCACCAAGCTCCTTTGCCTGCGTTACCCACTCTCCCCGACATTACAAACTGATGGACTGTATACATGTACAAGGACAGTGTTGGCAAAAGCCTTATAGTTAATGTTTCATTTTCAGTACCAGTTCATGTTTTAAATTTGTTTGGTTTATAGTAAATATGTTAGTCATATTGTTAGGCTATATATGAATGCATACAGGTTTGCATTCATATTTTAACTTCAAGAAAGTTGACGTGTTGTTTCGTGATAAAATTACGTCACTATTAAAGGTCACATAAACCCTAGGGGGTACAAATACATAAATCACTTACTGGCATCGTTATAAATGAAACCCCGTCATTAAAACTACTCATTTCGACCTTTAATTGACTTAAATCGACCTTTTTGACAACAGTGCACAATTCTCACCCGCGAACGAAATTTCAACCAATCAGAGCGGCGCGCCTCTGTGACGTCATATGAGGAATAGCTTTGAGGGCCGATGCAGAATTCATCTACATTTTAGGGGTTAAATTATCTTGTTTACAGGCTTGTATAAACCTGAAATCGTGACAATTGTTGTGGAAAATGAAAGCTATATGTTCTCACAATCTACTGTCATTTAATTTTGTCTCCTGCTTTGCCTAGTTTCCGAG